AAATGTGTAAGCTTAGTTACATATTAATAATATGTTATATAGAACGGTTGTTTGTATATCTTAATAATCACAGTGATTTATAATAATACTAATAATAATAATATCGCGGTATTTATCTATGAGTAGTTAGCCAGGATTTTGCTTACAATACATTTTTCAATATCGGTTCAGAGAACATTGAAAGCATTTTAATATTTTCCTACAATTTCATGGAGAGCTGCAGCCGTTTCTAGTTACCCCACTGGTCTTACGTGGCCCCACATATCTTTKATGGTTTACGATTATTAATTTTTTTTAAATAACTGATGAAGATAACTTCCGTTTAACAGTTTGCAACCTGAATTTATTGTTTGCATTGAAATTACTTATWTTGAGTTTGATGGGAAATTTACGATACTTAACTATATTTGAAATCACTCGGGCTGTTATAGTTATATTTGGGTCATAGAATCTGTAGACATGTTTATATTATCCTACATCAATACAAAATATCTCATAATGTCAATAGTTATTTATTCGTTTGGCTACAGTGACATAAGCTTTACTTATTTTATATGAAACTTAATAAACCTATGTGTAGGTATTTATATTTACCTTGGTTACAACATTACGACGTTCAGCTTAATAAATGATAGTAATACGTATTTATAGCTCGTATTAAAAAATTTCTGCATACAGTAGGCATAAGCATAAATTAGTTCAATTTGGCGGGAAGGGGCTAAGCYCCCTAGCTCCCTGAGATTTGCACCTATGACAGTAGGTATAGAACACATTATTTTGATAAGTAGTTTTAATAATTTATTAAATGATTTTATTATGAAAAAAAAAGTGTTGTTAAAATATATTTGAGAGGTTTAGACATTACCTACAACTACCAAGCCTTAATTGCAATAATATACGCATGAAATCAAGTGGTTTAAGATACAACTATTGAAATTTGCACTCGTTTTATTGTATTTGAAAAATAAATTACATATTATATTACCTTAAATTATAAATCAATTATAAATTATAACAGCCTAAATAATATCTATTCGTATTTGAGTAGGCACTTCATTATTAGATAAACGCAGAGAAAATTAAAAATTAATGAAATAAAATATTACATTCATTTTCCCAATTCTTCGAACTTTTGGTCTCATAAACCAACATTTTAAAAACAATTTTGGTGAAAAATTCGTGTTTAGTAACGTATAATTCATTATTCTTTTAGAATGGGTTCAGAATGTTTCTACGGTACCTAGCCTCATGATTGTCGTAAAAAGCAACTAAAACGAGGTTGCCTTAGGTTGGTGTTAAAAATATGTTTAGGAAGTATGTCAGGTTTAAAACTAAATTAAATATAATTCATTAATCTAGTTAACTTAATATTTTAATCAAATAWTATTACGAGATATTATTTACTCAAATTTATTTATTTTGTTTAAAACGTTAATATAAATAAAAAGTTGTCAATCGATTAGCTTATTGTTCTTAAAATAAATCTTTTATATTTAATAACTATAAAAAAAAAAATTTCTGACGCAATAATTTGTTTTTAGATAAACGAGACGAATCTAATTGAACATTTAACGCCATCAGAATGGAAACATTTTGTTGGACCCAATGCAAGTAAGTAACTACTATCGGTTATGCTTAAGTACCGCTCAGCAATTATTGTTGGAACATGTTTAGACTGGCGAAGTGCAAAAAAAGTGAATATGTATGAATTGTTATCAAAGTTGTTACAAAATATTTAAATCGGGGTGGAGGGAGGGGTTCACATATACCTACGTTTAAAATACTAAATGTTAATCGTTATGGTTCCGTGGGTTTCCGAAGAGGTCAATAACACGTGGACAGTATTATAATTGCTGTGTATTTACACGCTATAGATTTAGATAGGGTTTTCTCGTTAGTTGACAGCCTTATCTTACAGGAAAAAACTAATTACGAGTGAATGTCATATAATATTAACCTTTGTGTGGAAAATTTTTAAAATTAGATATAATTTGTATGAGGCACGTATTAAATACTATATTATGTATGTATAATATTATAATGTATATGTTATACATTATTACAGGTCAGCATTTTGGCGTAACTTACCTAAATTCAAATATTCCGAAAATCGGACTAGTCAATTTTACATCTAATCGATTGGGTCGTTATTTTCAATTAGACTTACAAAAAAATGACGATTTATTTGACGACAAATTTGTCATACTAAAAAGAAAAAATGGAAAATCAGAAATAATAGATAATCAATGGAATGATACGGGTTGTTATTACCATAGTTTTTCACCCCACGTTGCTGCACTCGACGTCTGCAACGGATTGGTAAATGTAACTGACATTTCAAAATAATTTTTTGTAATGTAGTCTTTATTTAGAGGGGCATTCTTAAATCAAACGAGGATGAGTTTTATGCCATAAGTCCATTACCGGAACGATTTCACGGATTGGATGAAACACCACACGTAATCGTCCGACTAGAAAACGCAGCCAAGCTAAAAGATTCCCTTGGTAAATTTATTGCCGTAAATGAATATAGTAAATTACCCAAAATTCGATCGAAAAGAGCTATTTGGTCACCATCTGAGTTGAATGTGGAAATAGCCATATTTGTAGATCAGGACCTTTATAGACTCATGGCCGTGAATTTTGAATCTAACACCGAAAAAGAAATTATTCGATTTGTTTTGGCTATGGTCAACGCTGTAAGTAAATAATTACTAAATTTCATGAAACAACTGATTACTTTTCCATGTCTTATTCCTATAGAATATTATTTACGATAAAATTAAATATCGTAATGTGTAAGCTGTATGACGAGAGTTTGACGATAATTTCACTTTGAGCTCACACTTAAGTATGTCAAATCCTCATAAATCATAATGCTATGTCTCGTTTAATTTTTATATTCAAAATTATTTAACATGCAATTTAATGCTTGAGAACAAATCATGATTATCTAATGACGGTTTTCAATGAACAATATTATAATAGCGGAAAAGCAATAAAGTAAAAAGTGTCAAATATATTTAAAAATCATATCAATAACATCGTCAAATCGTACGCATGAATAATAATGGAATCGTAACAGTTGTAGAATAATGGCCTAGTTGGATCAAATCAAAGTGTCAGAAAATATTAAAAAAATCCGGTTTTTGGGTCATTTAGGTTGATTTGTTGTATCACGACCCATCTCTAGGCCGTCAAATAAATTTCATTTTAAAAAGACTAGAGATTCTGCATTCAGATCCCGAAGGACTGATAAGGTCTAATGATATAGACAGATTTTTAAGCAATTTTTGTAAATGGCAACAGACGGAAAATCCACCTCAAGATTCGGACCCTCTGCATTGGGATCATGCCGTTATACTGACTGGCCTCGATTTGTTCGTGACCGGCAAAAATGGTAAAATCAGCAACCAAGTGGTAGGTGAGTAGTCAATATACTATATTGTTTAGCATACACACATTTTTGTTTGTAGATTTATACGATAGTTACCTTTAAATTATCTACTAACATATGATATAGGTCTTGCTCCAGTCGCTGGCATGTGTACGAAAACTAGCAGCTGTACTGTAAACGAAGGACGTCATTTTGAAAGCGTTTACGTTGTCGCTCACGAGATCGGCCATAAGTAAGAAATAAAAAGTCTATACATTTCAATATGATAGCAATTTTAAATGTTTACACTTAAAACATATAAATACAATTTATTTGTATAAGCATCGTGCCCATTGCATTAAATCTATTATATAATAATGAGCTACAGTAAACATTTTACCAATATATTATTTTTCATTTTTATTAAAAATAAAAACAACTATATCCACTGCAACAAAAAAGACATAATGTCCATTTTTCTACGCTCTATTATAATATTATGTTGGTATCAGATGATCAACAAACTCGTGGGATAGTGTATAACAATTATTATGGAACTAAAATTTCAAGGGCACGACAACCAGTTTTATGTGAAGATTTACGATTATTTGGTCCGATAAATTGCTAATCGTGATTTATACAGATAAATAATCGATCCATCCGGTGTTTAATTMATTTATTCGTTGTGTAGTTTGGGAATGCGGCATGATGGAACTTCGTCGGACAACAATTGTGATCCGACAAGTTACTTGATGTCACCGACCCTGGGAAGTGGTAAAATTACATGGTCCACGTGCAGCCATGAGTACCTGGAGAAGTTTTTACAGTAAGAGTTTCACATTTTTTTATCTTTGAACTATTTTTTTCTCACTTTTTAATATTTAATTTGAATCGGGATACTCACAATATGGCATAATAATAAATAAATCTTTAAGTTAATGTTTATGTGTTATTTTTGATATTTGGATTGATTAAATTTTCTCTATAATATTTTTTCTTATAATTTAGACAGAATAATTGTTAAATTTGAAACTAAAAAGTTTTGTAATTATTAAAACTATCAAATTGTACAAATCAGCTAATCAAACATTTTTATCTCATTTTTAGTTCATTATTTTTTCAAAAAAAGTAACATAATAGGTAGAAAATTATTTTTTAAAGAGCATACTCCAGTATTGGAAACTGATTTTCATATGTGAAACTTTCAAGTACCTAGTAATTATATAATAGGTAACTGATAAAGTTATGTAATTATACGTTATGTTTATGACTTGAAATTGCAATACATTGTTGACAAAATTTAAACCTCCTAGTATTTAGAAAATTTTATCATAACAGGTCATTAATTTATTCGTATTTATTAAGTTGGGTTTTTGCACWGTAAATTTTTTAATGTGAATTATAATCATTATTTGGAACAAAAAAATTTACTCATGTGATCCATTTCCCTTAAAAATTTCAAAAACAATATAATATTATATTCCAGTCTATTGTTTTTATGTTATGTTATAATTTTRTACTCTGTACTTAATAAYTTAATACGTGCTTAGAAGCTCGCAAGCAGGGTGCTTATTTGACGACAGTGGTACTTCTGGATACATGGACCATAAGCAACATGGTCGTTTACCTGGCGAGCGGTTCGACGCACATGAACAGTGTTTGCTTAAATATGGCCGAGGAAGTATACACGCCACTAGTCAAGATATTAGTGAGGTTTGTCGTGATTTGCATTGTCAACGAGACCGATATACATGGACTTCACATCCTGCGTTGGAAGGAACACTGTGTGGTCCAAATAAAGTAAGATTTTATGTTTAGTTTTAGTATATATATATATATATATATTAATATATTGTATAGTGTCAAAAAATCAAGTACAATAGTTTTACCCTAAAAGTACGAAGAATATAAATCTTTTATTCATTAGTTTCAATATTGTTCTGTTAGTTTTGATATTAAAGTTAATTGACCTATTATCAAATTTTTAAGGTACC